GGATGGCTAGTGCAAGGGGACCTATGCTTAATATCTCAGAGGCCCTAGTTAATATTGGTTGATAAAGGTATACCCTGATATGAGTAAATTAAACAAATGTGAATGGGTTAAATGCTTATAAACGAGATCATTACAGTTTCAAAATTTCTTCTCAGTAATTTAAAATCTTAAAGTCATGTTATATTGGTAAAATACAGAAACATTAGTTTTATACAAAAAAATTAAGTATATTTAGATCTGTTAAAATTAAAAACGTCTTCAGAAATTAGAAAATTTTTTTTAATCTACAGATATTAATATAAAACAATTCAAAATTGCTTACTTCCTTAAGTTTAATAATCTTGATTGGCCAAAATTAACTGTAATATTGACAGTACACTGGTCCTTCTTTAAATTTTCATGTAAACTATAAAAGGTAAACAATAAACAGAAGATATTTTTCATAACTCATGGAGATTCAAGATTGCTGCTTCATAACTTTAACCTTTGCTAGAGACTTTTAGAACTACTTAATACATCAAGTTTTTGGCTGAGAAACCATAAATACCTATTTGGTAAAAATAGCTGAGGTTTCAACTGGGTGTTATGTAATCTGCTCTGACAAATGGACCCCCATTTACTAACCTGAATGAATAAAAATGTCCTTATCAACACAGTTTTGCCTGGGTTTACTAATCAAACAGGACTACATTTGTCTTTGCAAGAGGCTTTTAAGTTGTGAACCCCTCCAGAACCAGAAAAATCTTTCTGTAATTTTTAGACAAATGAAGCCAATTTAACATTGATGGGGAAAAAACAAGTATGTAAAAAAGAGGTGATATAAAAAAAAAAAGCTATGGATGTGAATATGTAGTTGTGATTAAAAAGGCTAAAAGGAAAGAGAATATTTTTATGTGGAAAAAACATTTGCTACAGTGTATTTTTGTCCTAGAGTAAAATGACTGGCTGTTTAGAAAGTGTAAAGTACAGGACAAAAACAAAAAGTCTGAGTAAGCTGTGATAATGGTTTGTATGGTTTAACTTGTAAAAGAAATTTTAAAAATTGGCTAAAATTAAAAACAAATTATGTATAAGTTTTTCTAAAAATTAATATCAAAAGTATTCTAATACAGGTTCAGAGTTTGTTCTCCTGCATTGGAACAACCAGATTTCCTAAAAGCACTTAACTGCTCTTAATAGAAAATTATAAGAAATTTTCTTTATCTTTTGAGATAAGTGGCCTAGAAAACTTATTTCATGTTTTATCATAATATCTTGTGCTTTCTGTCTTTGAAATCTTTTGTCACTTTGGTTTTATTTTAGTAGTGATTTGTGATCTTATTTAACTAAGTGTTTTAAGTCGTTGTTATTTGACAAACTTTCCAAAACTAAATTCTGAAAGCTCAACCTTTGACTTAAACTAACTTTGAGGGGTTCCAGGGGCTCTGGAGCATTTCAAAGGATATATATATACATATATATATGAGAGGTACCAAAACCAATTGGCTTATTTGATAAATTAGACTCTATGAAAAAACATTGATGAAACAAGAAATAATGTTTGGCCTTCTTTGGTCATACTAAGATGTTATTAATATGTGTTCCAAAATCTTGTAAGGTTCTTGGAAATCTGTGTCTTGATATAAATGCTACCAGTTATAATCTGGTTCAATTATTATTTTAAAATGTTATGTCTTCAAAAATTTCATGAAAAAACTCTGACAGGTACAGTTTCCTGACAAACTTTGAGTTCATACCATTGAATTGAATTTCCAAAATTCTAATGAAGAAACTGATGGGTTTGCGAAATCACTCACCTAGGTCAAAATAACAAAAGTTAATTACACAAAACTAATGAACTGATTAAAAAGAATTATATGTTTTTACAATTTTTTTTTGAAACATTGCTCATTAATGTCTTGTTTTCCAGATTTAAGAAAACTCTCTCTCTTAAGCTATCTATAACTAACAACAGTTTGGTAAAATATAATTTAAAACAGAGATAAAAACATTTGTTTTCTCCTTATTTGAACTGCCTCAAATTTAAAAACTTTGAGTATCTTTATGATTATTATGGCAGTGTGGCTATTTTCATAAGTTCAATAAAAATTGACTCTCTCTTTATAACAGGATATAATTTAAAACTTTGGTTATAAAATAGCATGTCTCTTCTAAGTTCCTGACCTCTCTTCGTATTGCCAGAATTTGGCCTAACTGCTGTTTCATCTTTCCCCCCGACGTGGGACATGACAACCTGGGAATGAGCCTTCCCAGCACTGAGGGATTGATACAAAGAAAAGTAAAACCTTTTCAACCAGAAAATTGATTATCAATGCTTTTATGAGGAATGCTTTGATTGTAAAGGGGGAAATAATTTCTTGTCTACAAAAGCAGTTCTCTAAAGTTTCATGGCCTTAAATGAGGTGCTTATGACTTGGATGAGACATCCTGTTCCTAAACAAAAGATTTGTAATTGATCAAGAAATTTTACAAAGATTAGATGCTTTGGAAGCAGTGATGTTCTGGATGAGTGAACACCAACAAAGTCTCTGGACTCAAAATCAACTATTACATGGAACAGAACCCCATTCTGGAGTTTCAACAACTGGCAATAACACCCCAATTCACAGCACCAGGAATGATGCTGATGCAACAGCCCTGAGAGATGATGACATCATCAGTCCCCACCTCAGACAAATTAAAAGGACTTGCAATGCTAAAATGATACTAACTTTACTTTAACAAAATGTTTTTGCCTTAACTGTAACTTGATCTATAGCTTTTGCTTTTTCTTTTAAAAAAAAGAGGGGGGGCATATGTGGAGTATATTAACATTTATAAAGCAAATGTATTTCACAGGGCCTAACTTTTTAGAATTACACATGGAAATGTTAAGCTTGCAAAAGACAGAAAACTTCCCCAGGGCTAAAGTCTCTGGTGTAGATAAAGAATTGTAACACAGCAAAATTACTGGCTCCAAGGACAGATGTTCTTGGTGCAGCTAAACCTAATGATTGTTGCCATGACAATTATCTTACTGTTCTTTTTGTAACCACCTATGTCCCTTTCCTGTAACTTTCTGGCCTGGAGAATAAATACTGAGAGAAGACCCTAGTTCAGTGTTATTTTCTGAGGAGGAATGCCTCTCTCTTGAGGGTTCCTGGAAATTAACCCCTTCAGGACTTCTCACTGCTCAGAAGAAATGGGCTTTGAGTCATCCTTTGCATCTCCATCACCCTGGGAGAGGTGACACCACCAGACATGGAAGAGGCAGGAAAGATTCTCACACAGAGCTTCCAGAGAGAGCACAGCCCTGCTGGCATACCCACCAGCCCTGCCAACACCTCGATTTCAGACTTCTGGCCTCCAGAACTGTGAAAAAATATATTTTTGTTGTTTTAAGCAACCCAGTTTGTGGTAATTTGTTACAGCAGCCCCAGGACACTAATATACATGGCATCTTTTAGCTGATGCTAATGCAACATTTCCTTTGGAGCTGTGCTCTGTTCTGACTCAGTGACTCTCAACTCTGGCAGCATATTAGAATCACCTAGAGAATTTATAAAAAATGCTGATGTCTGGAACAGCTGGCATTGGTGTAGAGCCAGAGGTGAGAAGTGCCATTTAATTAGTCACAACTTGACATCATGAGTGGCACAGGAGTGCATGGGGAACACCTGCATACTTTTTTTTTTAACCTTAGGAATTTGCTTTGAAACATAACATTAGGCACCTTCACGTCCATGTACACAGTATTCTTAGAAGCTGGCTGAAGCAGGTTCACATCAGCCTCTGGTACAGACTCTATGGTACTGTTTCCTCCATGAAGGGATAAACAAATGCTCTGCCAGGTGGCCACCGCTGCTGGTCTGAACACCCCCTGTGCTGCCCCCAGAGGCACTGAGGAGCCATTGCTTACTAGCCTGAAGCTTGGTGATACCTAACTTTAACACAAATCAAGAGGCACTTGCAAGCTGTCACTCCAAATTGTCTCACCTCCTTCCTTACAATCAGATAGTATCAATTGTGAATTTCTGGTGGCATGCCACTGTGTGTAATTTTTAAAAACCCTGATGCATAGATGTGCTGAATAGGAGAAGAATAAGTTATTATTTGGAGGGAAGGGGATTCCTAATTGTGGAACAAAGCAATTTCTTGCACACCAGCCCTAAATCAATGTTTCTTTATTTTGAAATTGTATAACCCCCCTGGCGTGGTCTTTCTTGCATGACAGTGGGCAGTCACGAGTGTGCTGTAGTTGGCAATGCACGCTTGTCTGCAAAGGGCCTTTGAGGAAAGCACTCGCTCACTGTGTCTGTTGACTCTCTGGGAAGTTTGAGGTCACAAGCCTGGCTGGAGCACATGAGCCCGGATAAAGAAGATGGTTTTGTCCTCCTGAAACAAAGCCAGAAACTTTAACTCCTTTACTGTGCTCTTTGGGTCATGTGCTAACGACGAGGATTCCTCTAATACTAATCCCCCTAATGACGGCTTCTCCCAGCCCTTACACGATCCCCACCAGGCCCCGTGGCTCGGCCAGCCAGTCAGAATAAAGGCGGCAGCACGGCATTTGGCTTTTGAACTGAGTTCAAGGCAATTAAAGTCAAGGGCTAAGGAGAAAAGAAGGCGGTTTAGAAATACCGGCATAATCATAGTATGACTGGAGCGCTCTGTAAATTAACTCAATTAGACAAAGCCTGATTTAACAGGGAAAATGGTGAGAAGCTCTACTCTCATTAAATTTGGCTGTCAGAGGCGCTTCTAATGAAATTAAATTTGTGTTAGTTGTCTGAATCACATAAAATAGTATGTGTGTGTGCATGTACACACGTGCATACATGGAGGTTCTGTGACTTTTGTGGATATTTTTAAGAGGAGAGGGATAGAATGCAAAAATATATATATCAAAAAATACAGAGAGACTGAGTGCATGCTTGAGAGCTCAAGAGTAGCAGACAAGAATAAGACAAGACAGAAACAAGGAGTGAAAACCAAGAGAGAGTTCTCCCAGCTGCAGAGCCATGAGCCCCCTTGGCTGGCTTCTGCTCGGTTGCCTGGGCTGCGGACTCCTGCCTGGAGCCAGGGCCCAGTTCCCCCGGGCCTGCATGACGGTGGGCAGCGTGGTGAGGAAAGAGTGCTGCCCGTCTCTGGGTGCAGAGCCGGCCAACGTCTGCGGCTCTCAGGAGGGCCGGGGACAGTGCACAGAGGTGCGAGCTGACACCAGGCCCTGGAGTGGCCCTTACATCCTGCGAAACCGGGATGACCGCGAGCAGTGGCCGAGAAAGTTCTTCATCCGGACCTGCAAGTGCACAGGTGAGGCCCCTACGGGCAGAGCTGGCCCGAGCTTGGTAGGAGGGGACCAGCTGGGAAAGGAGCCCCTTTAAGGAAGAGATGAGCCATTGGCAGAGACTGGTGGACTAGGCTTTGAAAGCAGCCTAGGTAGGAAAGGTTTTGGTAGGAAGTGTCTTCAGTAAGGCTGGTGTCTTGGTAATATTCTTCACACCCTCTAGTACACACAGTTAGGAAAACTAAATAAGTATTACATGGGCCAAGCCTGGTTCTGTGATGGCATGCCAACATCCCCTTGTTTGTTTGGTGGAAAGGGCAGTTACAGAGCTCGAGAGTCAGCTTTGCAACTCCAAACAAGTTCTTTCAGGGAGGATTTGGTGCCCTGTCCTGAAACAGGTTTGCACTTGCTGGAGGGGGGTGGGTGAGGCTTGGCATTGAGAAGGCAGGAGTCAGAGGCAGAGGCAGGTGCTCTGTGGTCCTGGTCTCAGCGTTTCTGATGATTTGTACAGATCTCAAGTAGTGTACATCTCTCTTATTAAAGCTATGATTGGGTCGTAACTTTGCCAAAGTTGGAGAGATATGGCAAGACAGAGCTTTCTTACTGAGCCGGGGAAGGGAGAGTTGTTATTGGTAGCAAAGCTTCCTTTCACTCCTGTCTGGATTTGAACTGGGCATTACGAAATTTGCTCAGTGTCCTTCCTTTAGACCGTGGTCTCTCTTGTTACCTGTTTTCAGCAGCTGTGGGCCATGGGGATAAACCCTTGAAGGCTGGCAGGACATTTGAAATACAAAAAACATAAGCGGCAACCTCTGCAAAGCCCTTGGACAGTGTTCTATGGTGGCTGGCTGCAAATGACTTTTTCCTTTTAAAAATATTTTGTACTTCTGTTCTCATATGAAGCTGGAACATGTGAAAATACAGATAAATGAGCTACATGAGGGTATGAAGAGGCATTACTAAGTGTTGTTTTGCAGCTGGTGGTTATGGGGATCCAAACCTATGAACTTGAGGTTATAAGGCTGTACTTTAACCGACTGAGCTAACCAGCTGGCCCAAAAGTTCTGCTTTTATAATCATTTTGTAGTCATTTTTTTTTTTTTTTTCCTTTTGGTCTTTTTTCGTGTCCGGCAACGGATCGCAACCCTCAGTGTCGCGCCCGTACCAGACTGGGACCGGCAACGGGATCGCAACCCTCGGTGTCGCCCCCACTCCTCGCTCAGCCAGTGAGCGGGAACCGGTCTGTATGTGGGATCCGAACCCTCGGCGGGAGCACCACCGCGCTCCCAAGTGGCGCACTGTAGCAGTGCGCCACTGGGCCGGCCCCTGTAGTCATATTTTTAATTCTGCGACTCAAAGGAATTCTTAGATTCTAATTTTGTCCTGAGTATTAATTTGCACGAAAATTTCAGTAGCATTTTGAATACATTTTATCCATTTTTCTAAGCTATTTAAGCATTTGCTTCTACAGACATTGTCTCATAGATTCTCATGGTGTTTCAGTCTGAGGAGGAGCAGCAGCTTTTATATTACCTGTGTGACTGGAAATCACAGGAACACAGTAACTTCTTTGTCTAAAACCCCCAAATTCGTGTAGAACAATTATTTCCACATCAATCAGTGATAAAGCACCGTATCTTTCATAAGTTAGGAAAGTCCATTTTATGGGATCCTGGGACAGATGATTTTAGGAAATCAGATATAACTATTAACACTTTTTATTATCATCTCCTTTATATTTTTGACCTGGCCAGCAAGTTTGTTTGTTTTTTTAAAGGTGGAATGTAAAAAATAGAGAATGGCAGAATAGAAGGGATAATTGCTGTTTCCCTTTGTTGAGGGAATGTCTATAAATATTCTTCCAGAAGTGACAGGAACTTAGTGTTACAGTGACCTACTTTCAAAACATAAAAAGGAATTCCCCTGCTCTAAGAAGGCAATGGCACTTCCTGTAGGTCTAGGCTGTTGGTACATCTCGTGCCCTTAGGCTGGTCCAAAGAAGAAGGGCTTCTTCAGGGTATGCGGTCTCCATCTCCAGCCCTTGTCAAGGCCACTACTGTCCCTGCGACCCCACCCGCAGGCTGTGGCTCACTTCCTCTTCATGATTTGCTGGGTCTAGACCCATGCAGGACCATAGCTCTTTTCATACCAACTTTTTTTTTTTTTAGGGTAACCTAAGATTTATTGATCTATAAATTTAACTTACTAGACTTTTCCCCAGCTTTATTGAGGTATAATTGGTCTACAAAACACTGCACATAATTAATATATAAAATTGGGTAAGTCTGGACACACAATATACTCGTGTTACTATCACCATGATCAAGGTATATAAAGACATCCATTAGCTCCAAAAGTTTCCCTGTGTCTCTTTGTTTTTTGGTTGTTTTTTTGTTTTTGTGGTAAGAGCACTTAACATGAGATCTACCCTCTTAACACAGTTTTAAGTGCACAATACCTTACGAGGGTACTGCAAAAAGTTCACGGAAAAATAGAATTGAAGCACGAAATAAATCTTTCCATGAACATTTTGAATACCCTCGTATGTTAACTATAGGCACTGTGTTCTACAGAAGATCTCAGGAACTTATTCACCTTGTGTCACTGTAACTTTATACATTGAAAAACAGCTCCCCATAAATCTCCACCCCTTTCCCCTGGTAACCACCATCCTGTTGTCTACTTCTATATGTTTGGCTATTTTAGATGCCCCATGTATGAGGAATCATGCTGTATTTGTTCTTCTGTGACTAACATTTCACTTAACACAGTCTTCCAAATCCATCCATGTTGTCACAAGTGGCAGAATTTTCTTCCTTTTTAAGGCTGTATAATATTCCACTGTTTTTCCATATGCACCTTGGATGGCTCTGCTTATGTTGGCTGCATGATGGGTTGTATTTTTTTTTTTTTTTTTTTTTTTTTTTTTTTTTTTGAGTCTCAGGGAACCAGACTAAGTCCTTAGTGACTAAGCTGGAAAATTACTTTGTGTACACAATAATCGTTATTCTGTGATGTGCCATGTGTCCAAAGCAAGACAAATGTCCTTTAATTTATTTTCTTCTCAAGAAAGAATTGCTTGCCTCACTAGGGTAGCTATTTCATGGTTTGGGAGGCAGTTTTTAGAATTTAAACTTCATCTTGAGCCTCTCAAAGACCCTCCTGTCTGGTAGCCTCATGATTCTTTTGCAATGGAGTCCCTGGGACTCTCCTAGGGTCATCTAAAATTTCATAAGGAAGAAATGTAGATAAACTTCTTGCAATCAGAGTACTGACACCCTGAATTTTGTTAATACATTGGAAAAATAACCACCACATAGCTTCCACACTTATGAAGCTGGTAAAAGAATTTTAACTTAATAACTAGAAACCAATACAAAATCTGGGATTTAAAAAAAAAAAAAGCCCTCAATTCTATCCTCAGATTCTCCATAGAGAACTTTTCTATTCTGTATAGGGATAAATTGAAATGAAAAAGTTACTGAATTTAATTGTCAGGAAGAGCTGAATTTCAGGAGACTTTGAATTAGTTGTTCACCTTATAGGACTTACTTGCCAGCTGGCATTTATGAGAATATACCAGTTTCATCTGTGTCTTTGGGCTTTTGAAAAACTTGTGTACCAAATAGTGTTTGAACAGTTGTCTGAGAACTTCTTGTTTGTACAAGTGACTAAGTGCCTCCATTTTCCAATCTCTGAAATGGGGATAATGATGAAACCACACTTGAAAATCCTTTTGAGCTCTGTAGATGAAAGGGCCTATGTAAGTGTAAAGTATTGTTATTAAAATAATAGAATCTCTAATTAAAAGGAATAGGCTATTTAGAGTTCCTTGTAAATTCACTAATCGGTGGTCTTTAAGCTTATTTAGTCTAATAGCTTTTCTGAGGTTGAACTGATGCTGTTCATGTAGAAACGTGTGGTGTTTGGATGCTCTCATTCTCTTTCCATTTTTATCCCCCTCCTGAGTAGGTATAGGACTTGGACTCTTTAAATTTATTTTTTGCTCAAGGACATACTCCGTGGTAGATAGATTGGAATCATGTAGGGATCCATTCTCTTTTTAAAAAAACTCTCTCCATTTCCCAGTAAGATAACCCAATCTTTTGTAAAACATCCCTAAAATATATAAACATATATACTTAACTAAATAACATCTATTTTTTACTAAGACTTTATATTGAGGACATAACTAGACTGTCACCACCCCCCACCCCATCTTGAAGAAGGGTTCACATAATAAAAGTTATAAAGCAGACACGAACAGTTTGAAGGATTGGAACCAACGTTAACTGACAAAGAACAACTTCCATATAAATCATCATAAACATGTTTAAGAAAAGGGAACAACAGGGTCTTCAGATTGAACATGAGCTTCACATTTCCAGTACATTCCATCTTGGCTTGAGTGTAAAAAAATGGAGACAGGATTACTATTGGACAAAGCTTCCACTGCAGCAAGCTGTGCACACCTGTGTTCCAAGCTCACCCCCATCCCTCTAATGCTTCCAACGCAATTATTTCCTGGCCTGTTGGCCTACCCAAAGGGGCACATAGATCTTCTCTTTAATCCAGTCTTTGTTAAAAGGCTGGTATATCTGGGTGTCAGCTCACTAAACAAAGCAGCTGAAGTCTGCAAGGTCATCCATAAAATCAAACAACTGACTGATATCGTTCATGATAGAGGGGCTGTTGGGGTTCATTCTCTTCAGAGGTTCTTCATACACTTTACACACAACTTCTGTGCACTCATTCACAAATTCACAGTCAGCGCAAGTCCTGCCTTCTGGACTTTTGGTAGGCTGTACCAGCAAAATGGTGTGATACATGGAGCCCAAATTTTTTTGGCTGCAGCTGCCGCTGACATCGCCTCTGCACACAACGAGCTTAGCCACAACGCTGCCAATAGCAGATCCCCTTCTTATATTTTTTATTAGTGGTAGATTAAGCGAAAAAATGAACTCATGTTAAACTGGCATAAGATACTACTAAGAAATCTAAATGAAAGAAATAAACATTTTGTGTGCTAGGTGTTCATGTTGTTACATTTTTCGGTGGTCTTTAGCATTTTAACACATTCTTTATGCCAGGTTTGTAAGCTCAACGATGAAAGGGACCTGAATGCAGAGCTTTGACATATTTCCTCTGGGACATATTGGAAAAGGAATTTTGTAGTTGAGTAAATTTCTGGGTCATACACAAGCTCAAATCCAGACACATACTTTCTTTCTTTTTTTTTTTTTTTTTGTCTTTTTCCGTGTCCGGCAACGGATCGCAACCCTCAGTGTTGCCCCCGTACCGGACCGTAATCGCAACCCTCGGTGTTGCCCCCGCGCCTCGCTCAGCCAGTGAGCGGGAACCGGTCTGTATGTGGGATCCGAACCCTCGGCGGGAGCGCCGCCGCGCTTCCCAAGCGGCGCACTAGCACAGTGCGCCACCGGGCCGGCCCCAGACACATGCTTTCTTATTAGTACTTTCCCATTGCCTTTGTGGGGGCAACCCTTGTTACATGAAAGTTCCTTGTTCACTATAGTTTTGAAGCATCTCTGATCTTCTGAGTCAGGATTAATCATTTCATCTTTTGTCATCCCACAGAGCTTGGTTTATTCCTCTGTTTCCACTTTTCCCACAGTTAGACTTGTGTTGCTATTTCATCATGCTCATGATCTTCATCTTTATTAGACAAAGGCACTGTGCCTCTAGTTCCTAACACCTTTTATTAAATTATTTATGCATTCCTTTATTACCTACCCAACCAACATTTATTTAGCCTCAACTAGGCTCTTCAGGTTCAGAGAGGGGAAAAAAGTGACATGATTCTTAAGGCATGTACAGTGTGTGATAAGTAAGACAGATACAAAAACTAATAATTGCTATGCTATTTAGTAAGTAGCATTTAATAATACTAGTAATAATAATACCCAATATAGAGCTCGCTATATACCAGACACTGTTCTATGTGCTCCTAGTATGTTAATATACGTGTGGGAATAATAGAATTTTTCCTTTTTATGTATTTTTACTTATGTTTTCATTGGTGCTGAAACAGGAAAATACAGATAATTGAGCTATATAAGGATAGGTAGAATTTTTTGTATATTACAAAGAGCATAGAGCCCAAATAACCAATTACAATTTTAAAAAATTTTCCTTACTTATTATGTTTTTAAGGAAAGTTTCTTTAACTGTCAAAAAATCCATTGAGTTAATAGAAAGGGAAGCCTGTGCATTTCTTTACAGAGTACAAATGCTAATCATTTTGTTTGCATGCTATTGGGAAATCTTTGCCTTTAGAGATCCAAATAACCCTCCCTCTCCTGTGGTCATAATACTTTTTATTTTCTCCTATTTTGGTACTTATCATTTACCAAAATTATTTACAAGGACTACTTTTCCTGCTAATCCACAAGGACAGGGAGAGAAAATTTATGTTTGTTGCATCATCTACTTCATGCTTTACACTTCTTTTGTTCATTCAACAAACATTCATTTTGTACAAGGCCAACCACAAGCCTTGGCACTGAGTTCACCGCCTTCCAGAAGCCTGAGCTGAAACAGTATAGAGATGTTTACAGTCGGTGTGACATGTACCATGACCATGAGAGGGCAGTTACAAAGTTCCGTGGGGTCATGAGCATCTGACCTCACATGTGGAATCAAGAATGACCTCATAGAGGACCTATTGTTAGGCTGAAAGAGAGGTAGATAGCCCAGGCAAAGAGGAATTTAGGAAGGCAGTGAGGGAAAAGTGTTCCAGGCAGAAATAAGAGCAAGTTAATAGCCTGGGGGCATGAGGAGGGGGAGAGCTAGTGAGCTGGTCACCCACTTAAGTACATGATCCCTTTAATCTTCTGTGAGATAAACATTATTATCCCCTTTTATTTCATCCTTTCACTCCAATAATATTTGAACTTTTACTCTCTAATTTACCATCACCTAAGGAATGAGGTGTTGGTCATATCCAAAGCAATAATCTGGAGGGCTAATCTGGAAGGGAAAAGTCAAGGTCAAGCTGAAATAATTAAACTTGAGATGCTAGTTAGAGAGAAGCTAGGAGCTTGGTATTGCTAGTTCTCGTGCCCTGGGTGTTGATGAAGCGGGGACATTTGTGCAGCTTACAGGAAACCCCGAAGTGATGGCACTCTCTGACATCGTGGCAGCTAGTTCTCCCTTCCGACCCTCCAGCTTCCATTGATTTTGTCTTAACTCTCTCTCCTTTGTGAAATAAACCAGCTTTTCTAATGTTTGATTTCACCTACATTCCTGGAAATCAGCTTATTTACTTCTTCCTTTTGGTTCCACCTTTCGCTTGGCGTATATTCTCTCCCTTCTCTAGATCAATGGCTCCTCGGTGACAGCTTTTCTACATGTGCCTCAAGGACAGCAGGGCTCAGCAGCCGGGACGTCCCAAGGCTGCTGATCATCCTGAGATTGGGCTTGGAGGACATAAAAGGGACATCCCTGTGATCCCGAGAATAAGGAGAGCATGTGCATTAGTGTGCTTAGGCTGCCATAACAAAGTGCTGCAGACTGGGTGGCTTAGACAACTTAGCTTCATCCTCTCACAGTCCTGGAGGCTGGGAGCCTGAGATCAAGGTGTCAGCAGGGCTGGATTCTGCTGAGGCCGCTCTCCTTGGCTTGCAGACGGCTGTCTTCTCCCTGTGTCTCACATGGATTTCCCTCCATAACTGTACCTAAATTTTCTCATCTTTTATGGACACCAGTCGTGTTGGATTAGGGACCATTCTAACGACTTCATTTGCCCTTAATTACCTTTTAAAGACTCTATCTCCAAATAGAATCACTGGGGATCCTGGGGGGTAGGACTCGAACATATAAATTTTGAGGGGGGCACAATTCAGCCGTAACAGCTGTAATGTATTTCATATCCTGTTTCTTTGCTGGGAATATGTCTAGGGAACTCGAGCGCTCAGTCCACGTGGAGGTGCACACATTGTGAGAGGAGGCTGGGGAGGAAACTGACATTCTGTGCACACTCGTGAGCACCTCCATCTTCTCTTCCATTTACCTCCAGGGTATGGTTTCAGAAATTTCTTCCAAACTACATAAACTCACTTTCTTTTCCATCTTTCCATGTTTTATAAAATAGGAAACTTTGCTGGCTATAACTGTGGAGACTGCAAGTTTGGCTGGACTGGTCCAAACTGTGATCAGAAGAAACCAGCAGTTGTTCGGCAGAACATCCACTCCTTGACTCCTGAGGAGAGGGAGCAGTTCTTGGGCGCCTTAGACCTTGCGAAGAAGAGCGTGCACCCCGACTACGTGATCACCACGCAGCACTGGCTGGGCCTGCTTGGGCCCAACGGGACCCAGCCACAGATCGCCAACTGCAGCATTTATGATTTTTTTGTGTGGCTCCATTATTATTCTGTTAGAGATACATTATTAGGTGGGTTTTCCCCGGGCTTAAAGTATATTATGATAGGTTGGTGATTGGGTAAGGGGGATGGGGGTGGGAAGTAATTTCATACAAGTTAATTAACAAGATAGCAACCACAAGGTAGGTTTATGAAAGTTGTAGAATTATTAAATACTGCCTGAAGTTAGAATGCAGCAGCTTCTTTCTGTAGGTTGGCTGCAAACACTTTAAATGTTCTCTCCCGTAGTTCATGTTCTTCGTACAAAGCCTAAACTATTCTCTGTGAAGCTATTAATCCTCAAAGGCATGAATTGCTGAAGTCAAGGTGAATTCCTTTTGATTCCAGAAGAAAACATTTGTGAATCTGGCCATGATAGCCCTCTCTGACCTTTTTTACAAATTAGAGGAATTGACTGAACATATGCCAGAGCACATGAAGCTTCTTTGTGCAAAATCAGAGTGTTCATGTTGGAAGTGTGTATCTCGCTAAACTCACATGTCTTTAAACTTTCAGATATTCGTTTATGGTCCTCTGGCACTGCTAGGAATCCCCCAGGTGTTTTGGAGTTGTGTGAGTTGAGCCTCAGTGGAGTTCCTCCTGTTAAGCCCTTTGAACCACAGTTATGTTGGATGCTTGAGAAAATGGTGCCCTGCCCTTCCACGTCCTGAAAATTGGGGCCTTGGGTAGGACTTGGAATGAGCGATTGTCTGTTTTGAACTTTGTTGATCTAACAGGTTCAGCTTCACCATCAGTTATTTTTTAGTCAAGGGAAAGTCATAGACACCAGTGTACTCCAGGAGGGTGTGCATTTGTTCCAGATTCTTCTTGTAGCTGTTCTAAATGCTCGGCCATAATCTGCACCTGTCCCCATCTTTGGACAACTTGGAGTGAGCTCACTTTGAATAGAGAAATTCTGCTTTGAAATTGCCCATCCTGTGTTTATCACTAGTTCCCTTTCACTCGACATCCCTCATTATTTTGTTTCAAAAACTTGAAACTTTGCTCCAGATTAAAATATTAAAAAAGGACTGCGGGGCCGGCCCAGTGGCGCACTGGATAGTGCGCCGCTTGGGAAGCGCGGCGGCGCTCCCGTCCGAGGGTTCGGATCCCACGTGCAGACCGGCTCCCCCTCACTGGCTGAGCGAGGCGTGGGAGCAGCGCCGAGGCTTGCGATCCCGTTGCCGGTCCCGGTCCGGTACGGGGGCAACACTGAGGGTTGCAATCCGTTGCCGGACACGTAAAAAAAAAAAGACAAAAGACAAAAAAAAAAAATAAATAAAAAAAAAAATAATAAAAAAAAAATAAAAAAGGACTGCGTAGCCAACATCAGCGACAGCAGCTTTTTTTCCCAGTGTGAGTCTTTTTAAAACTTGCCTCATGGGTAAGAATCTGTCTTTCTTTATCAATAGGTAAGGAAGCTCTTCTGGCTATAAACCTTTATAGTTTTCCTGTCATCACTCTGAGGAATTTTTGCTTTATGAGAGGGAAGTCTCTCAAGAGGAAAAGAAAACTATAGTTTCTGGTCATATCTAGGAATTAAATTTATATTCATGTCTGTTCAGCTCTCTGAAGTTATTATAGGTACTTTGAAAAAGAACTAAAGTTAGCTAAAGTTTCTACATAACCATCAAAAGCTGTTATGAAAAGAGGCAAAAGGATGGGCCAGGCAGTAAGGAGGTCATTAAATCGCCCAAAGCTTTTCACAAAAATTGGCAGTTCCAGTGGCCAGCCAAATTGGTTTGAATGTATTTTTCTCTCTTTTGGTCTCGGCAACCACGCTTGTCTGCTAGTAGTTGTAACTGATTGATGGGCGAGGCAAAATCTGTGAAGTTCTTTTTTGCTATATAAATGCAACATTGGGACTAAGTGTGGTTGCTATATTATTAATTAATCCCCCTTATAAATTGATGCATTTGTAAGGATTAGGTTAGAAAATGTCTTTCAAAAATATATTTCATTTAGATCTTAATGGTCTATTATTCTTTTGGATACTGTATTTCATCTTAATAAATTGTTGCTTAAAAGTTAAATATGGAACAAGGGCTTCTAACACTGAAAATGATCCGAATTTCCTGGATCTTTGCTGGAAATGAAACTTTTGAGAGACAAAGGGGAGTTTATTCTAAAAGTGCTAGTTGCTTCTGAAATTCTTTTGTCATTGTTGTTATTGTTGCTTTTGGAGAGATAAATAACATTTTTTTTTCCTACTAAAACATCATAGGCCTATTGGCTCTGCAGATACATCCCAGGTAAGGTTTAACATTTAAAAATTCTATTCTGTGATCTCTAAGATGTTTCCCAATTGTTTCAGGACCAGGGCGCCCCTACAAGGCCATAGACTTCTCACACCAAGGACCTGCCTTTGTTACCTGGCACCGGTACCATTTGTTGTGGCTGGAAAGGGATCTCCAGGTTAGTCAAAACTGTACATTTAGCACTTTTTATTTTATTTTTTAAATTCATTGTATATGTTTAAGGTGTACAACATGATGTTTTGATATTCTTATCTTGATATACCTATACATAGTGGTTACTACAAACAAATTAGCATACCCAGCATCACATACAGTTACCTTTTTTGTGTATGTGTGTGGTAAGAGTACCTAAAATATACTCTCTTGGCAAATTACCAATATATAATACAATGTTACTAACTATAGTCCTCATGGAGATCTCTAGACTTATTCCTCCTACATAAATGCAACTTTGTAATCTTTGACCTACACCTTCCCATTTCTCCCTGCCCCTGTAATCACCATTTTACTCTCTGTTTCTATGTATTCATTTTTTTAAATATATATTCCACATATAAATGAGATCATATAGTATTTGTCTTTCTAGATTTGGCTTATTTCTCTTAGCATAATGTCTTCTAGATTCATCCAAATTGTTGCAAATGGCAGGATCTCCATTTTTTTAAGACTGAGTAATACTTCATAATTTCTTTATCCATTCACCCATCTGGTACTTTAGATCTTGCTATGCATTTGGTCAAGGCGCATAGCAGTCTTTGTCTTACATGTTTTCTTGTTGCATCTGATGGCATGAGTTAAATGACTGGGTCTGCCCTTTGCCTCTAGAGACTCATTGGTAATGAGTCCTTCGCTTTGCCCTACTGGAACTTTGCCACCGGGAGGAGTGAGTGTGACGTGTGTACAGACCAGCTGCTTGGGGCAGCAAGACAAGATGATCCAACTCTGATTAGTCAGAACTCCAGATTCTCCAGCTGGGAAGTTGTCTGTAACAGGTAATGGAATATGTAGTTGCAATGGAAATCCACAGACTGTCTATTCTTATATCTGAGAGATGAAGTCACTTTACATATGTTTTTTTCTTTTTTGGCAGCTGGCTGGTACAGGGATGGAGCCCTGGACCTCGGTGTTATCAGCACCATGCTCTAACCCACTGAACTAACCAGCCAGCCTCTACATACTTGTTTCTGATGCATGTGGGATTCTGTTTACATGGTTCTGAAAACAATTTTCCCCTGGGAGTGGGATTTTAAAAATTATAAACTCTTCACTAAAAAAATAGATATATCAAAATCACATTTATGAGTTGAATATGCTTGACTATCATTCTGAGAGCAACTGTTTTCAAATAGGAGTGGTTGTGGCCTTCAGCCAATATTGGCTAAGCACAGTCATAATCTAGGTGATGAAATGCTGCTGGGGATACAGTGATGAATAAAATATAGCTTCCCTTTTGAATATTATTTTGTATTAACAAAGATAAATTTCATGGGCTGGCTGGTTAGCTCAGTTGGTTGGAGCACAGTGCTGATAACACCAAGGTCCAGGGTTCAATCCCCGTACCGGCCAGCCACCTCCTCCCACCAAAAGAAAGATAGATTTCTTGTACTCATAAGTGAATTACAATTCCATGTGAGACGTACTATAATAGATGTATGAGCAAAGTCTAGAAGAGAGTCAGAGCAAGTCCCCAAGGGGTGGAGATGATGGTTCCCGACCTGAAGGGGCACAGTCCTCCACCAGGCACTGGGGAAGGTGAGGAGAGTGTGGGAGGGTGGTGGGCGTGTCCTAGATGGGGGAGCATCAAGGTCGAAGCCAGAAAAGTCTCTGGCAGCAGCCTGGTGTGGCCAGGCCACAGGATGCTGGTGAGTTGAGGGGAACAGGGGTGTGGGGCCTGAGAAGGATGATCTCTGAACCACTGGAGACCACGCAGGCAGGTAAGCGGCCTGCAGCCCATGAAGAATTCTGTTCTCAAAGACTGCTTGAATTTGTTTCTCTTTCCAGGTGCACATCTCAGAAAAAGATTCCCCAAAGGCTTCCTGCCTTCCTTTATTCATGTTTTTGCCCTCTAGAATCCCTGTGTTTTTCACTCCCCTACTCTGCCTCCTGCACCTGTGTCTTAGCCTGCTCTGGTCACAGAACAGAGCTCCAGGTCACCTGTCCACACCCCACACCTGGCCAGGCACGTGTTTTGGGAGGCTTGGGCCCAGCTAGCAGGGACCCCCTCTTCTGTATCCTATGCATTTCCTACAGCCCTCAAGCAGGGATGTCCTAAGTGCTTTTTACATGAGTCCACTTAATTCCCAAAAGTACCATTTTCCATCATATCTTGGGATAGTAATAGGTGGTATGTGAATAGAGATTTCCGTGATCAAATAAATTCAGAGAAGGCTGTGTTTAAAGGTTTTTTTTTAAAATTTCAGAACATGTCTGAGCCTTCTGTAGACACTTGTATTATTATTCTTCAAGAGGAGCCTAAACTTCTCCGACCCTGGCACTCTTATTTCACAGACCATCGCACTGCAACACACTTTGGGAAATGCTGCTTTGGAGGCCTTTTTTTTTTTTTTTTAACCTAGTGTTTCGGTCCTGGACTCTTTCATCCTGGTGTGTGTGCTGATCTGTTCTCACATACCCAGTACTATCCCCCACGCATTAAAATCCACACAATAACAGCTTTAAAATTTTATCTCGACCAATGAAATAATACTCTGAGGGTGGAATTCCAGACCACAACAGGCAGGTAGGATATAATGTTTTATGGGTGTGGGACCTGCTCAGCCCCCACGTTTACCACATAACTATTGATACCCTCCTGCCTTGGAACATTTTCCGATACAGTGTTTCTTCTAATACCTCTCCTCTCTATAGTATCATCTGTTTTTAGTCAGTCTTCTTCTGTTTACCTTCAGTTTGCTTGAAATGCTTTCCTAGCTTTACATAACACTTCTGCCAAAACCGGCTTCACTGAGCATAGTGACGGCCACCCTCCTCTCTCTTCAGTTACTCAAGATTTAAATGCACATAATAGAAGTCTCCATCTTGCCTGGTAAACCCTCTCACTGTGTTTCTAATGGAATGGTAATTATTATTCATATTTATGCCTATATTTGTATTTTGTGCATCTACATTTTTGAAACTTTTTTTTGCCCCATAATTACTTTCAGGAGTAGTACTTTGACTACATATTTTTCACCCTTGTAAGTGTAATAAGATTTTACCATGACTGTGACCCTGGTTGGTTTGCTTGGCCCAAATTTATGATACCACCCGTGAGTTAAGACATTCTATTTTTAATTTTCTCACAAATCTTAGCTTGGATGACTACAACCGCCGGGTCACCCTGTGCAATGGAACCTATGAAGGTTTGCTGAGAAGAAATCAAGTGGCAAGAAATAATGAGAAATTGCCATCCTTAAAAGACTTACAAGATTGTCTGTCTCTCCAGAAGTTTGACAATCCCCCTTTCTTCCAGAACTCTACCTTCAGCTTCAGGTTGGTGTGAAGCTCTGCTGGACCAGCATGTACAGTACTTTTAGATTTTCATGCCTGAGTGTATTAGTTCATTTCTGTTGCTTATAACAGAATACCTGAAACTAGGTAATTTATAAAGAAATTAAATTTATTTCTTATAGTTCTGGAGGCTGGAAAGTGCATGGTCCAGGGGTGCATGTAGTGAGGGCCTTCTTTTTGGTGAGAACTCTACACGGAGTCTTGTGGTGATCAGGGTATCACATGGGGAGAGAATGGCCTGAGCAAGATTGAGAGCTGACTTTCTCACTCATTTTCCTTATAAAGCCATCAGAACCATGCCCGTTAATCCATGAATGGATCAATTCGTTTACAAGGGCATTGCCCTGACAATCTAATCCCCTCTTAAAGGACCCACCTTTCAATGAACATAGTTGAATTTTCCCCCTCCTAACACCGTTACTATGGAGATCAAGTTTTGATGAGTTTTGGGGGGGCGTTCAATCCACAGTATTGTGGTTGTAATAGACCAGAAGGAAATCCAAGTGTGGGGAGACTTCTACAAGGCTAAGTAATGGAGAGGGGCTTGACAAGAGAGGTGAGCAAGGGATTGGTGTTAGGAGAGTCATCACTGACCCACTATAAGTAATAGAGTAGTTTTAATATCGTCTACCTTAGCTGTTCAAAACCTCATTAAATATAGTATTTTAAAAATGCCCATGCTCTGGGCCGGCCCGGTGGCGCACTGCTACAGTGAGCCGCTTGGGAGCGTGGCGGCGCTCCCGCCGAGGGTTCGGATCCCACATACAGACCGGTTCCCGCTCACTGGCTGAGCGAGGAGCGGGGGCAACACCGAGGGTTGCGATCCTGTAGCCGGTCCCGGTCCGGTACGGGGGCGACACTGAGGGTTGCGATCCATTGCCGGACACGGAAAAAGACAAAAAGGAAAAAAAAATGCCCATGCTCTTTCTTTTTCTTTTCTTTCTTAGTTTTTAAAAAATGTTGACATTAGAAATTTATTAGCCTTAGTATTGGAGTCTGAGATCTTAGAGGAGTATTGCAGACTAAATTTAACTCAAAATATAATACAGCAATAACATTACAATACTTCAGATTATAAAAACCAACTATTAACTTTCTCCTGCCAAAAAAGACTTTAAAATTATGAGAAATAGGTATATCAATTGGATTTTAAACAAAGATGGATGGGGTTTTCAAAAAGGAGTGGTAGGTAGATTCATGGTCTTCTCTAAAACTGGATTCTCTCTCTTCCTGAACTGTGTGTGAATTATACAATTTGTATTGGGCCCAGAGCAGGGTAGGCTGAACTTAAATGCAGAGGTTGTATTAAGTGTAGCAGGGCTCAGAATCTATGCTGGGGTTGGATGCAGCCCTTAGAGTAGTGTCAAAGGTAGGTAAAGGGTGACATTTAAGATTGTTTTGAAAAGGACCATGCATTAGGTTTTCATTATGGTAAACATACTATTAAAACAGATTGCATTCTCTATAGATTTGAGTTAGGAAAGTGGCTCTCACAATGCAGTGCCCAGACCATCATAATTGGCATCATTTGGGAGTTGGTTAGAAGGACAAATTTTCAGGACCCAGCCTGCACCTACCAAATCAAAAACTCTGGGAGTAGGGCATGAAATATCTATTTTTCTATGTGATTCTGAGGTGTGCTTAAATTTGAGGAGCTCTGAGTTAAAGTATGAATATTTAGAACTTCTGGAAAATGGGGAGGAAAAAGGAGAGAAGGGGAATTGTGGGATATGTTTAGAATGTGGAATATATTACAATCAAGCTGAAGGTCTATTTAGTTGAGAAAGATGAATATAAAATTATGTGTTAATTTGAAAAACATTTATTGATCAGACACCATGTGCTGGGCATGGTACTGAGGCCTGGCAATAAAAAATCTGAAAAACACACAGTCCCTGCCCTCTAAGGACAGGAAAGAGGTGTGGGGTAAATAATTGTCATACAGTACACAAAACAGATATAATTCAACTGTGTAGGCACAGAAATAGCATTAAGAGTTCCCTCCCCTCATAGAAGATTATCATTAAAGGCTGGAGCTAATATTTAATTCATTAGCTATGCCAGAGCTTCTCATATCCCTACCCAATCTCAAATTAGAAGATTATTAATTGTCTAGGGTGGAAACAATAAAAAAGAGACCTTTATCAATCTTTGCCTGTTGTCACTGATGTACTGGTTTTTCCCAGGAATGCCCTGGAAGGCTTTGATAAAGCAGATGGGACCCTGGATTCCCGAATGATAAGCCTTCACAATTTGGTTCATTCCTTCCTGAACGGGACAAGTGCTTTGCCACATTCAGCTGCCAATGATCCTGTTTTTGTGGTATGTCCAAAGACTCAGAATAGATGGGAAACTTTCTAGATAAGATGTCGGATTTATTTGTTTTCGGATAAGATTATGGTTTGGTGGTTTTTATTTTCTGTGTGAACAATATGATATATGTGTATATAAATGAATTTAAATCTACACCGTAGGGGTGGTTGAATAGCATTTGACGCCCCAATGAGAAACCTGTGCTTCAGGGATGGGTAACTTTCAGATGACCTTAGATAAGAGTTTACAATCCAGAGGTGAATTCATACATTAGCATAATGATAAATGATTTATCACTGGTGAAAGGAATGGTGTTTTGTCGTATTAACCCATTCAATCCACCTTCAGTGTGTTACTGCAGGAAAGAAAGGCTCTGTTAACTAGAGGAGGGGAGGAGATTGGAGAAGGGATGTTGGACGGACAAAAGCAACAAATGCCTTCAACAATGGCATTAACAGGAAAGCTCACATTTGGTGTCACTTAATTCGTTAATAAGCTTTATTCCTCTGACATGCGATATGGCCAGTAGAGAGAGCTGCTGTTGACTATGGAGGAGCCTCACAGTTCTTTAAAATTCAAAGTGTGATGAACTCTGTACTAGTCCATTTTCTGTTGCTTATAATATAATACCCCAAACTGGGTAATTTATAAAGAAACAAAATTTATTTCTTACAGTTAGGGAAGGTTGAAAGTCCACGGTCCAGGGTGTGCATCTGGTGAGGGCTTTTTTTTGGTGAGGGTTCTCTACAGTCCTGTGGCTACACAGGTTACATGGCAAGGATATAGCAAGGGAAAGCTAACTAACCTTCTCACTCACGGTCCTTATAAAGCCATCAGAACCACAACTGTGACAACTCATTATACTCTCAACCCGTTACTCCATACATGGCTCAATCCATTCACAGGGGCACAGTCTTCGAAGTCCAATCACCTCTTAAAGGCCCCACCTTCCACCAGCACATTGGGGGTTAAGTTCCAACATGAGCTTGAGGGGACAATCAAACCACAGAAAACTCCCTTGTATTTTTGAGTCTGATTCTGTCTCACTTTAAAACAAAAGAAAAAAAACTGAACAAAACTTGACAATAGGATGATAAATTTCTAGAATTCTGAGCTTTATTATTTTTTAAAATTTGTTCAACAGGGACTGACCTGAGTCAAACAGAATAGGGAAGTACAAGTCAGGACCACAATGTTCAGCTACCTTTAGTCAATGCCCTTCAGCTGGACTTCTAGGAACGCAGCCTGGGTGAACACATTGGGTTTATTACTTCTTGCAGACAGAAAAAAGGACCATGGAGAGTGTCAGTTAGTGGGTGTTAGGAAAGACCGAAAGGGGCTGCTGGCTCGTTAGCTCAGCTGGTTAGAGCGTGGTGTTATAACACCGAGGCCAAGGGGTCGGATCATTGTACTGGCCAGCCACAAACAAACAAACAAACAAACAAATAAATAAAAGACTGAAAGGATTCGGGCTTGTGCTATGTGATTGTGGGGAGGATTTAAGGAAGCTGTGCTCTGGGTTGGATGCTGTCAGGAAGCAGGAGTAAATCTATGATTGGGTCTCTCAATAATTCACATGTATAGGTAGGGCAGACTGGACTGGGGTTGCTCATAAGAGTCAGGAAAGGGGATGGTAGGTATTTTGTGGCTTGGACAATGTTCATATTTTGTCTGTGCTCAGCCGTGTGTTATGGAGTTGTCTTGTTTTTGTCTTGATCCATGATGATCACAGAGTGGCCTTCTCTGATATTGATGTCCTATGAAAAATTGTTTATGTCTAACAGGAGGACATCAAGACCTGGTTGATAGTACCAGGCCAGCTCTTCGATGTCAGGGACTGCTTTTCTAATTTCTCAAGAACAGCTGGCTAAACATGGCTTAGGAGGTTTAGACAACATAAAAATTCTTGTTTTAGCTGCTGAGCTCCAACAATGTTTCTGCTTTGCAGACACTTAACTCACGATAATCTATTTGAACACTGTCTGTCTTCAGAGTTGTGTGTCTTGGATAGATGGTTTGGGAGCACTTATGATAAGAAATTTCACCTCTGGTCCTTTTTTATTTTGCCAGTTTTGTGAGTTTATATTATTAGCCAGTTTAGATTGTATTTATATTAGTCAGTTTCTGTTGCTTATAACAAAATACCTGGAACTGGGTGATTTGTAAGAAAATGAAATTTACTGCTTACAGTTTCAGAGGCTGGGAAGTCCAAAGTCCATGGAACACATATGGTGAGGGTCTTCTTTGGTCGTGCTTTACAGCAATGCAAGAATTTTAGATGGCAGAAAACAGTGGAGCAGAGAGAGAGAGAGCTCCTCATGTGCTCTCCTTTTAAAGCCCTCATAGCCATGCCCATGACCATCATTATTAATCCAGTCACTGTAGTGTGGTCCTACTATCTAAGCATCTCTTCAAGGCCCCACTTTTCAATTACCATAATAAGATTTCACACCCTTAACAGTTGCAGTGGGGATTAATAAGCCTCAGGGAGGTTGGGGGTTGGGTATCCAATCTATAGCAGTACTGTAGCCAAAAACACTATATTTTTTTTCTCAAAATTTTCCTCACTTTAATGTTAATCTTACCACTATGTCTTAGTCAGCTTGGGCTGCCATAACAAAGTACCACAGACTGGATGGCTTAAATAACAGAAGTTTTTATCTCACAGTTATGGAGGCTGGAAAATCTAAGATCAAAGTGCTAGCTGATTTGGTTCCTGGTGAGGACCCTTTTCCTGGGCCTTCTAGTTCTGTCCTCACATGGCGCAGAGAGGAATGAACTCTCTGGTGTCTCTTCTTATAAAGACACTAATCCTATCAGAGCAGGGGATTAACCTCATTAAACTTCATTTACCTTCTTATAGGCCCTATCTGCAAATACAGTCACATTGGAGATTAGGTCTTCAACACATAAATTTTGGAGGGACACTATTCAGTCCATAATACAATGCATTGTTAAACCATTGGTTTATAGCAGTTTGTTTTTCTGGACTCCTGGGAGGCCACATGACATAGGAAAAGAACACTGGATTAAGTGTCAAATCAGTTTTATTTAGTACTGACTTGTGCAATCTTGGGAATGTAATTGAACCATGTGGAGCCTCTGCTCCCTACTCTGCAAAGTGTGGGTCACATGCCCTTATCTGGTAATGGGAGTGTTGCACTCATTAAAGTGACTCTTTGTAGGCTAGGGCCACATGAAGCTGCTCTAGAAACTGTCAAGTATAGTACAAATGCTGTCATGAAAATAATAATGTGTTCAGATCCCCATAAAGGCTAGCTGCCAAAAAAAGTGTGTTTTATGGTGGTCAGTAGGAAAGAATTAGAGAACTATGTGTTGGGTTTGAATTTCCAAACCTTAATTAAGGTTTCTTATCCTGTTCTCCAAAGCAGACAGGTGTGCCCTAAGGAGATTTACTGACAAGCACAGAGTCGGAGGGGGGTGATTTATTATTTTTACAAACCAGGGTACAAAAAAACAAGATATGAAAAGGGAGAGTGAAGGTATAGCTTCCAGTGACTCTAGGCTTGGCTGATGGTGTGAAGTAGCCTTCTGGGGCTACCAGGTAGATTAAAGCACAGTCAGGTGAACTTCAAGACATCCTGAGACGGAAGCAGTTGGCAGAGCTATTCCTTCCTTCTCAAAAATGCTTCTCCCCCGTATTTGTGCAGCAGCAATAAATAAAGGAGTTGTCAGAAATGTGGATGAATGCTCCAGACCTCTAACAAGGTGGGGGCTTATCTGTGAGGCCCCCACAGTCATCTTGCTATTCTCAAAGATGCCTGCTTTGTTCAGTGGCTCTGACTTGATATTTCAGATCACTTTCTGGACTTTCATCTCGGCCATCATCTTAGGCCATGCATTTCTGGTGCCTTCTCTGATATAGATATACAGACACACACACCTATTGACCCATACTGTATGTCTGGAAATAAGTTTTTATTTACATTTTCAACTATATAATTTGTACACAAAATTCACATTCCTTATCCAATATTCCAAAATATTATGAGTAGTACAGTAGGATTCTCTGACAAATGGAGGACTGTACCCCTAACCTTTCTCTTCTATTAAAGGTGATGCTGGTAATTTGATTTTCAGCACCCCAAGTCTCCAGGACTGCTAAACCTTATCGTCTTCTTTTGAGGAAGCCCACTAAGTACATAAAGGTTGGCAACATTTTTCTATAAGTGGCCAGAAAGCCAATATTTTAGGCTTTGCAGGCCAGATGGTCTCTGTTGGAACTACTCAGCTCTGCTGCTGTAGCATGACAAATGAGTGTGGTGTTCCAATAAAACTTTATTTACAAAAACAGGCAGTGGGCCCTTCTTTGCCCCCAGACTTTAGTTTGCCAACTCCTGATCTAAAGGATCAGTGTCCCTTCTTTGTAGCAGGGATATCTCTTTAGTCATATTTCTCTGCCTACTGTCTGGAAGCTCATATTATGATTTTAGGGATAAGGAATTCAGTACTTACGTATGTTTCAAAGATAGATGTTTAATCATCTTTGCCTTCATTACTTTTAGTATCTTTAATATTTAAAATTTTTTCTTTGGTAACGTGTACCATATACATACAAATAAACAAAAAGCCACAGCTTTTCCTGGAAGGCACAAAAGGAACAATGCTTTGGCACTCATTTCAGAACTCACAATTACTTTAGGCTACTTACAGAGAGTTTTATGTTGAAGCCAATTCAGCCTTAAATGCTTTTTCACATATTGAAATCCAGGTTAAAGTGTTTCAAACAGGGTTATAGCCTCTGGAATTTTAAACTCATGAGGCAAGTCATGCAAATATATTGCACATGGCATTTATTAAAATTATTTTTTTGTAAAATCTCTTCAAGCAATAGAGGTACAAAATTGTATGTGATCACAATAACGAGTAAAAGAAGACAGAGCATTAAAATACAGGAAAAACTCTGAACCAGTCTCTGAAATTCTAATAATTCCTTAAGGTAATCGAAGCAAATGCACACATTTATTGTGGAAAATAAGAATAGGCAA